ATTGAACTAATCATTATGATCTTTGCTGCATTTAATTTTGTTTCTTCCCTTATGTTTATCCTTATCTCCTACATGCTCATTCTTGTGACCATCCTTAGGATGAACTCTTCTGAGGGCAGACACAAAGCCTTCTCCACCTTTGGCTCTCACCTCACTGGGGCAGTTATATTCTATGGTACACTTATCTTCATCTATCTGCAGCCCCAATCTAGCCATTCCTTTGCTGTAGACAAAATAGCCTCTGTCTTTTACACTCTGGTCATCCCCATGCTCAACCCTTTGATCTACAGTCTCAGGAACAAAGAGGTGAAAGGTGCCTTGAGGAGGCTCTTTAAAAAAATCACATAAACCTTTTTAATGCCCAATGTAGTGTGTAATTCCACAGCATTATTCAAAGCAAGTCAATGTGTGATAGATTTCTTTCAACTTCTCCTTGAATCTTCTTTTATCTTTTAAAAAAATTTCTCTTAATATGCGGAGAATCATTTTTGATTAGTTATTAGTGTTCTTAGTGGTCTACGTTCAATAAATCCTAGTTTAGTGGACCATTTAATTAAAGAGACATATTAGAGAAATAATACAAAATATCCCCACAAAACAATCTATTTTACTATACAAAGTAACTGTTTACAATAGTAAACAGCTTAACTTTGTTTTAGGTTTCCTTACCTGGGAAAATTAATTAAGAAGCATATAGAAAATGCTGGTGCCAGGTACTATTCTATGCATTGGGTCTACATTGATAAATAAAAAAAGATTCATTCTTTTCTTATAGTTTATTATTTTTATAATATAATTATGTATATTTATAATATATGTTATTAACCTTATATTTTATGAAGGAAAACAATATGTACATGACAACAACATTATCCAACAGAGCAGCCAATCTCTTTTGAAATATATCTAATGCCTAAGAAGTTTATCCTTATCACAACCTAAATTTCCCTGTGACTTCCAGTCATTTCCCCTGGTGTTCTCTGTGAAGCAAAGCAATTTGATTCTTTGTAATAACTGTTCAAATTCTTGAAGGAAATTTCCATCTCTTCCTCCAGTTTCAGTCTCAAATTTTTTCTTTCATTTTTGTGCTAGGATGGAAAGACACTGATCTATACAAGGAGTCCTAAAAATCTTAGTCTAGATTTAATTTTCTGAAGCTTAAAGTAAATTCAACTTTGGACTTTCTGTTGAAGAATCTAGGATTAAATAAAAGGTGTATTACTTGTGACTTATGATATTCTGGGCAATAAATTTATCTTTGCTTGCTCCCATTTATCTATAAAACTTGGGAATTTGATGACAGAAGTTTTACGTGCTCTTTCACACAAATTGTATGATGCCATGAACCTTTTTTTTTTTCTTAACAGCATAGAGTCTTCAATGAGTACTCATGTTCTTATTTAAAATTCATTTTAACTCTAAATGTTAAATAAGAAAAGAAAAAAAACAACATTGTCATGTAGACACTAGAAGGTAAGAGAGGATTCAATACAAAACCATTAATTTCCATTTGAGGAAAACCTATATAAGAAATACTACACATTGTTTTAAAAGCTATTCAGCTTTTCTTTGCTTTCTTGTAGGTTTTCATCTTTTTTTTGCTGTGCACTTTTTACTTTATTTTTCCCTACCTTCCACTGCACAACCTGCCTTAAAGAAGGCTACCATTAAACATGGATATATACATACAAATACATAGATGTATACCTACCCATATATATACATATGAACTCATACACATATATGTAACACTGCACTATGCTTATTTCCACTTCTCTTCTCTTACTCTGAATGTGGATAGTATTTTCCCTTTTAAGTCCAAATCTTTCCTTGTGTTTTTCTTTTTTTTTAACTTAATAAATGTATATTGATTTGATTTAATTTGGTCTGTGTGATCTTATTTTTCCTACAGATTGTTGTGACCAAGAACTTTAAGGATTTTAAAGCAGCATAAAGAGCAGAGTAGGAGATTGGGAAGGCACCCAACAATTCATGTCCAAATTTTTCTGAGTTTTACTGTTTTGATATTAAATGAATCATCATCAGCAAGCAGTCAGAGAACACTTTTTGACCACCCTTTCCCTCACTACCACCTCCCTTCTATTACCTCCCTCCCTTTCCTTTCCTCTTTTACCTCCTACTGCCCATTGGGTAAGGTAGATTTATATACTTAACTGATGATGTCCGTCCCTCCTTGAACCAAATCTGATGACAGGAAGGTTCAAATAATGTTCATCTCCTCCCTTCTTTCCCTCTATTGTAATGAGTTTTTGTGCCTTTTCCTGTAACATAATTTACCCTTGTCTGCCTCCTCCTTTCCTTTTCTCCCAGTACATTCCCTTACTGTGATCCGATTAATCCACTTACTTAGATCCATTTAACCCACTTGATCATAATTTTTTTTATCAATACATCAAAGTCAACTTATGCCCACCCACTCTATGCATACTCCTTTAATGTAATAATACAGTTCTCAAGAGTTACAGGAGACATCTTCCCTTGCAGGGATGTAAACATTTTGTGCCTATGAAAAATATGTTTCATTTTGTTTTTTTTCTGTCCCATTTACTTTTTTATGTCTCTTTTGAGTTTTGTATTTGAAGATCAAATTTTCTGTTGAGCTCTGTTTTTTTTTTGGTTTGTTTGTTTTTTTTTTAATCAGGAAGGTTTAGAAGTCCCTTATTTCTTTGAATGTCCTTCTCCTTCCCTGAAAGATTATGTACATTTTCACTGGGTAGTTGATTCTTGGTTGTAATCCAAGATCCTTTCCCGTACAGAATATCGTATTCCACACCCTATGATCTTTTAATGTAGAAGCTGGCAGGTCCTGCATAATCCTGACTGTGGTTCCATGGTATTTAAATTGTTTCTTTCTGGCTGTTTGCAGTATTTTCTCTTTGACCTGGTAATTTTGGAATTGGCTACTATATTCCTTGGCATTTTCAATTTGAAATCTCTTTCAGGAGGTGATCAGTGGATTCTTCCTATGGCTATTTTCCCTCTGGTTCTAGGACCTCAGTGCATTTTTTCCTGATGATGTTCTGAAAGATGCTGTACAGGCTCTTTTTTTTTTCAGCATGATTTTCAGGTATACCAATAATTTCTGAATTGTCTCTCCTGGATCTATTTTCCAAGTCAGTTGTTTTTTACCAATGTGGTACTTTACATTTTCATCTATTTTTGTTTCATTCTTTTGTTTCTATTTGAATGATTCTCACCTTCTCACACAGTCATTAGCTTCCTCTTTCCCAATCCTAATTTTTAACAAATTGTTTTCTTCTATTAGATTTTGTGCCACCTTTTCCATTTTGCCAATTTTACTTTTTAAGTGGTTGTTTTCTTCCATGTACTTTTTTTTTCCATTTGGTCAATTGCATTTTTTAATAACTTGTTTTCTACAGTTAATTTTTGTCCTTCCTTTTCCAAGCTATTGACTCTCTCTTGCATACCTCTCATTTTTTTCCCCATTTTTTATTCTATCTCTCTCATTTGACTTTTAAAATCCTTCTTGAGCTCTTCTAAGAAGGCTTTTTGGGCTTCAGACCAGTTCATATTTGCTTTTGGGGTTCCAGATGTGGGTTTGTTGACATTATTATCTTCTTCAGAATTTCTGCCTTGATCTTCACTATTCCCATAATAAGAATCTATAATATGTTTCTTTTTGCTCATGGTGTTTCCTTATTTCCTGGCCTTTAAAAATATTTAGCATTCCTGCTGAGGTGCAGAGGCCCTGACCCAAGTTTCTTGTGTTGGACACCCAGGGCCTGATTACTGGCTTTGTGTGTTGGGGCCTCAGATGCTGGCAGTTGGAGGCTGTAGAGTTCTGGCAGCTTACCTGATGTTGGGCTGGAATCAGCAACACTGGATCTCTAGGGGTAGGATTGAGTAGTGTGGCTCCTGGAGATTTCCTGCTCACCTAGGCCTTTCCTTTCTTTTGCTTTCTTCAGTTCCTTTCAGATGGATGTTGTAGGGTATTTACTGGCTTGCGGTCCCTTGGAGAGCTGCTTCCCTTAGGTTTGCTGAGGCACTAGCGGGGCTGGTTGCTGTATAATGATAAGGCAACTGGTGATTTCCAAGTTGGTTTCCACTCAGGGTTCCAGGTATTGGTGTTTGCCTAGACCTCCCCCTGGTTTTCAAGATCTCCCCCTGGTATAGCGAGGTGGGGCTTTCTGCTAACTTGCTGGGATGCCTCTGGCTCTGCACTGTTCACCCTCCCCCAGGGCAAGAAGGGTCTTTCCTGTTAATCCCTCAAGCTACCTGGGCTACTGGACTGCTACACCCCATCTTTTTTCTCATTCAGCTATTCCAGGATTTTTCCTGCGGTGATAATTTTCTGGGCTTTCACAGGTTAATAAGGGACCGCAAGAACGACTTGCTTCTTAATCTATCATCTTTCATGTGTTTTTTGAAATCAACTAGTTCATCATTTCATACACCACAACAGTATTCCAACCCACTTACATCCTAAATGAGAGATTATTTATGATTTTTTTTTCTCTCCTTCACTTTTCTGCATTCCTTCTATTCTTGGCTATGTTGCCTTTATTTATACAAGAAAATTGTAATTTAAAATAATAAAAATTACTCCTTTCACACTTCAACAATATTCTTACCTTACAGTTTAAGGTCTGAGACTGCTGAATCTACTTCCTTTATTTTCTTTTTCCTTGGTTTCTTTGAACTCACTGACTTTCTATCTTCCAAATAAACTGTTATTTTTTTCTAACTGATTAAGTTTTTTTTAAATAATTTATTGAGGATGGCATTAAATAGATTAGTTAAATAAATAGATTAGGTAAATAAATTAATCTATTAATAAATAGATTAGATTAAATAAATAAATTACATAGGTAAAATTATCATTTATTTATTACATTGGCTTTATGTACTCATGAACAATATATATTACTTCAACTATTTAGAACTCACATTATTTGAATAAAAATTGTTTTTTTTAAATATTCATGACATTGCTGTGTTGTTGTTGGTGTTTTGGCAGGTATACTCTGAGATTATTTTTTTTTACTGCCTAGTTATTTCAAATGATCTAAAACAATATTGAAAAATATTATTGACAAATTGTGTAGTTTTCTTATTTTCCTCTTTTGGTTAAGTCTATTTTAGCTTTAACCTTGTCTGAGATCACTATTACTATCCTTGCTTTTTGTTACATAATAAATTCTTCTAATAACCTTTATTTTATCTTCCTGTGTATCATCCATTTTTACAGAATTTTCTGAAAGCAACATATTGTTGAATTGAATTTTTTAACCTGGTATACATAGGTAAATTCATATCATTCACATTCTAAGTTATAATTACTTGTACATTTTCCTCCTTTCTATTTTCCCTCACTATCCTTCTAACCTTATTTACCCTACCCCTCCTCACTCTTCTACTTTACTTCTACCTGCTACCTTGTCCTCTCATCACTTTATCTACTTACCGCTCCAAAAATCACCCTCTTTTGCTCCCTCCTGCTCTATCCCCTTACCCTCTTATTTCTTTCTGAATTTGGAAGACTTTTGTACGTACATATATCTCATATATGTAGATATTGATATAGATATAGATAGATATAAAGATATATACATATATACACATACATACACATATATTATATATTAAGTGTGTGTTTGTGTAAAAGTATATATAAAATAAATGGAATAATCTATTTATATATAAATATATACATATATAAGTAATCTATATATGTATATATACACAGATAAATATATATACATACATGCATGCATACATACATATTATATAATATGTACGTGTGTGTGTGTGTCTGTGTTTATTTTTTAACCCATCCAGATTGAGAGTAAGCTCCCATTTTGACCTACCCTCCTTCCACTAGATTCTTCTGTATCATTTTTTCCCTTTTATACTTCTTTTGTATGTGATGATTACTCCTTTTTATCTTTTGCTGCACAATTTTTTTAATAATCATACCATCATACTCAGCTCAATTCAAGACTTTCTTTCAATACCATCATACTCAGCTCAATTCAAGACTTTCAATACACACATATGTATGTGTGTATATATGCATGTATGTTTATACATATGTATATATATACATATTCCTTATAAATAATTGATTGTTATCTATTTAGTGTTGAGCATTAATTTACTGGCAATAACTACAATGAAGAAAAATGTTGTAAAATACATTTATACAGGGTGTCCCTAAAATCTTAATACAAATTTTAGTTTCTAAAACTTAAAATGAAATACGACTTTTGGAACACTCAGTTCCCTCAAAGGATGTGCTTCACACCACAAGTCTGTTCATGGGACTTGCATTATTCTGGGTAATATGTTTGTTGAGTCTGACTTATGCTCATACATAGAATGGGGGATTTTGATAGTACAAACTTTTAGCAGCTTTCCATTTAAAATGTTATGAAGCCATGAAGCTTTAATAAACTTGAAGATTCTCCAGCTTTGTTTGTATTTCTATTGAAAAAAACTCTTAACTTGTAATTCTATTTCCCAATAGTAACTCATCCCAACCTGCCCTCCAGTTCTATGGGTTAACACAGCCTCACACAATAACCTCTCCCAATGGTATCCCTACAATGGCAAAGTAATCTTAGGGGAGGTTTTGTTTTGTTTTGTTGTGTCTTAATTTGCTGTTTCCTCTTAAAATTTTTGGAGTTGTGAGAATAATATTAAAGTGCTTTCATTATACTCATTTTAAGACAGGTCCCAGAAGAAGAGTTTAAGTATAACACCTGAGATTTATAAATATTCCTTCACTGAAGATTCACAGCAACCTTCTGACATGGGTATCATAGATATTTTCACCCCATTTTACAGATAAAAAAAATTGAACTTCAACAAATTAAATGAAATCATCAAGCCTATAAAAGTTGGGCACAAGGATGGAATCACATCTTCCTGATTATAAATTCTACACTCTATATTTAATATACTATAATAAGTTGCTTCTTAAATCAGGGACATATACTGACTCATTGTAATTGTAATAATTATTATGAACACACAACATTTATCATCATCCATGTTTGACTTTTCTTCTTCCTCTTCATCTTTATGATTTTCATCATCACCATCATCATCACCATCACCATCATCATCATCATCATCATCACCACCATCATCATCAAATACACATTTCCCTAACAATTACTTTTAAGTTCATCTACTTGATGAGACACTGTGGGCCACACACAAAAATACTGAGCACTGTGTCGTATCATATTTAATGTATAAGAGAATGTCATAGTGAAAATGAATAGGAAGTGAAGGTACTCCTGGGAAGCATTAGGATCTAGAATCAGTCAAAGAGAAATCAAAAGCATATATATGTATGTATGTATGTACGTATATACATATGTATATATGTTTATAATGTATATGTATGCATATATAAGTATACATGTGCATGTATATGTATGTGTGTGTATATGCATATGTGTATGCATGCATATAAGTATATATCTATGTGCATACATATATGTATATATATATATATTTGAAAGTCTACATTAAGTCAATAATTGATTAAAATATATAGTAAGTACCTACTTTGTGCCAAGCACTCTGCAAATGCTGGGGATAAAAACAAAAAAAGTCTCCATCCACAAGGAGATACCAATCTAACGGAGGAGATAATATGAAAAAAATACGTACAAAGCAAGCTGCATATAAGATGAATAAGAAATAATTATCAGAAAGTAACTACTTCAGGAAAGGGAGCATTGGTGAGAGAATGACCAGAGCTGAGACATGGAGTGTTTTGATTGTGAATGAGCTGGTTGCTCAGTGTCATTGCTTAAAGTGTGAGAAGAAATATAGCTTAAAAAGGCTGGAAAAGAAGACCAAGGTTAGGATATGAAAGGCTTCAGAGATTCTAGATTCAAATAATACTGATAAAAGGAAAGACTGGTACCTGGAAATGATATTGAGATCCCTAAATAAATTTAGATGAATTAATGAAACTAAAATCATGAAATGTATACTCTATACAAAATGCTAATCTAAGCATTTGGGACGCCAACAGAAATGGAAGACATCTCACACTCTCAAGGAGCTCATATATTAATAGTTGGAGCCAATACATAAATAGTGTTTCAGCTCCAAGTCAAATAGAAAGAGCTCGTCAAACATGCAATTAACAAGAACCACACTGTAATAAGGATTGGACAGACAAAGACAAAAATAAACAAATGAATGAATATAAACTGGAAAGAATGAAGAAAAAGGATGTGATCTTCTGTGCCAGAGCCAGTTTTTGAAGTTAGACATTAATGATTCTAAAGCTAGCCTTGCATCCACTATGCAACACTCATCATATGACTTTCTTTCATGCCCAATTATAGGTGTCAAATATTTGAGATGGAGAGAAGATACTGTTTTCCTAAAGATGCTACATGTTCCCTGAATAAGGTTCAACAAGAATGGGCATACTGCGCATGACCAGTAAATGTGTGTGCATGATGACAATATTATTAGACTGATCACCTAATGAAATTATTAGATTGATCATTGATCACTTCAAAAAGGTTGCATTAGGTATTAGTGCAACTATTCCATATGCACAATGCATACACTCTGAAACAAATTGAAGTAATTATTAAAGTAAATAATGTACAAATTGGTAAAATGAGTAATTTTCATTATTATTGGAAGGGTCTGAATGGACTGCATATTTTTTCCTTAAAAGGAGTGCTAAGCATCTATATATTGGTAAGTATTAATTCACTAGTAGGACTGCAATTAAGAAAAATGGGTATACTAACTCATGGTTCAAGCAGTTGTGACCTGGTCTAGTCACTGGAGAAAAAATGAGAACTATGCTATTATAAGATAAGGCCTGGTGATCTTGACATCGTCATGGAAGCCTCCCTTTATGAGAGGTAGGTTATAGAATCCAGCCATGGAAAAGTACTGGAAATTATATTTTTAAGGTTATTACAACTGTATGCCTAAAAATAATAGCTGACCAACCACCAGTTTTTCTGCAACTGTGTACTTTAACAATGCACTATGTGCTCTAAATCTCGATGTACATATTGGCCAGGTAACCTAGCATTCAGAAGGATATTTTTGGAGCATGCCATGGGGTAATAAACACAAGAAGACAGCTTTCCCAGTTAATTTGACTCATGTCTCTTTGCTCCCCACCACATCATCACTGCTACAAGAGTTTTCCTCTGTGCTAATGTGTATTTTTAAATTGTCCTAAGGGTCTCCTTCTTTCTTTCTTCTCTATTCCCCGTCCCAATCTTCCCAATCACATTTCAATAAAATCTTGCATTAAATTGCCCTCACTTATATATAATTCTTGATAATCCCATGCCTTCCAAGGACAGACTATCTCATGTAATAGGACTGTCACAGAAACACATGCCCAAAATAAACTAAAAAGTGTGAATGTCTAATGATAATAGAGATTATTTCAGAAAAATCCAGGGAAGATGTATATGAAATCATGGAAATTGACTCAGGAAGTACCTGGAAAACATTGTACACAGTAACAGCAATATAGGAAATGACAATGAACTGTTAAAGACTAGCTATTCTGATCAATAAAATAATTGATGACAATTCCTGTGGTTTCATGCTGAAAAACATTATCCACCTCCAGAGAGAGAACTGATGAAACCTGAGTGAATATGGAAGAATAATCTTTTTTTATTTATTTGTCTTCCTTTTTATGATTTTTGGTGACATGGAAAATGTTAAACTTTTTTTTGCCTAACTTTACATGTACAATGGGTATTATATATTTTAATTTTTTTCAATGTTTGGGTTAGGGATTTACAGGGAGAAAGAGAAGTTTGAACTGAATATAAAAAGGTTGCAAAAATTTTTAAAAAATAAACATATGATATTCTTTCAGAAAAGATAGAGTCATTAAGAAAGAAAATATACAAGCACTTATACAGTGGCTATTATAGGGCAGCCATACAAATAGTCTTTAAAACAATCTGACTGGGAAGTGCAATTATTTCTTTTTGAAAGCTTGAGAAACTGAGGCAGACAAAGATTAAGATACATGACAAGGGTCACACTGACCTTAAGCCTCTGAAATAACTTTTGAACTTAGATGTTTCTGACTCTAGGCACAGAAACAAATTCACTGGATTACTTAGCTATCTGATAGAAATTCCATTTGATTTTCACAAAAATCCTGGCATGTTGATATTCTTATTAACCCTATATTACCGGAAAACAAAAACTGGCAGAAATATGTTATGTTACTTGCCAAAAGTCAAAGAGCTAGTGTATGAGGGTAGATTAGAAATTATTTCTTCCTAACTGCAGGTCTAGTTCTCTATCCACTGGGCCACCTAGTTCCTTCTAAAAGACCTTGTAATTCTCTAAAGACAATCCAATCTGCTCATCTACCCCATGTTGTTTTTGGTGGCCAACCCTAAGTCCATTCGTACCCATCTGTCCTAGAGATGCATCCAAAAAGGCAAACTTTCCATTTTTCCCATTCAACTTTATGTTATGTTCTAGATACTAGGTGATCTTCATCTACTTGGATTATAGTGTGTGCGTGGTTAAAAATTAACTGTTCTTGGCCACAGTTCTACTGCAGAAATCTGTAGTTTCCCTGGGTGTGATGCAACTATGGTATATCAGGCACAAACAGAAGCCTGGAACATAATAAATGTTTCATGAAATTACCTAGACCAGTAAACTTTGTCACTTATTGTCTGGGCACTTTCCATGACACAATCATAAAAATTTAATTAAACATCTCCAGTGCTTTTGGGATGTGGCCTCATGGGGACAGAAGAAACCATAAAATCTGACTCTAGTAGCTGGCAATACGGATTACATGAACAAACTAGAGAAGATTCTACATTCCAGATAAGCAGGTAACAGTATTCAGTGTTTGTGAACTTCCAGGACAGTAGATGTTAAAAATATGGAGTCCAAAAATTTCAATTCAAAAGCCAATAAGTATGCCCATTTTGGGGGTGAAGAGAAGAATTTTGTAGCCTTGGCCTGAATTTGATCACATTGAAATGGCAGAAAATCTTTCTGGGAAGGTCATCAAATGACAGTTCCTAACTCTAACAGTTGTCACAAAAACTTTTCTGAAATTCAAAAAATCAAATAATATTTGTCAAGGGATATTGATCACTCAAATATATGGGATCAGTGTTCTTAAAGTTCAATGCTATGTAACTGAACATCATCTGAACAACAAGATGCGTTTTAAAAAGTCTTTTCTGTCCTTTCGAATAAGATATATTAAAAACACCAAAATTGTTAGCCTAGTTCACCTTAATAACCCAGGTGGAAAAATATTTTCTCTCTGATGAGGCAAAGAGAAGGGGGACTACAGAGTCAGCATTTATGTGGGGTCTCCCGGGGTGTCATATAATTAATGACTATATGAGATAAACACTGCAATAGAACCTTAATGTCTACTGTTAATAGTCTGGGGCACTCCTAAAAAGAAAATTCCATTTCTTGGCATTGGCCATCACTTTCCAACTGATAGTAGTAGACAATGACTAAACAACCAGGAGATTACCTGACCAGAACAGGATTTTTGGGAAAAGTGTTGGATATGTTATTTATCTCATCTCTACTTACTTGCGAAGCAAACTAGAGAACTACTTCACCTCTGTTCCTCTATAAGATAATCTTATATACTCTGTACTACATCAGTATCCCATTAGAATCTTTTGGCCTATTGACTAGAGAAAATGAAAAATTATCTGCAATGTTGTGCTGTCCCATCATTTTTTTTATTTATTTAGTATTTTATTTTTTCCTCATTACATATGAAATCAATTTTCCATATTTGTTCATAAAACTTTTAGTTCAAAAATCTCTCTTCCTCCTTCACCTCCCCCTCATTGTTAAGGCAAGCAATTTGTATAGGTTTTGAATGGATAGTCATGCAAAACATTTCAACGATAGTCATGAAAACATAGAAAAAAAAAGTGGACAAAAAATAACTCAAGAAAAATAAAGAAAGCAAAAACAAAGTATGCTTCAAGTTGTATTCAGACACCATCAGTTCTCTCTCTGCAGGGATGGATAACATTTTTCATCATAAGTTCTTCATAATTGTCTTGGATCATTGTATTGCTAAGAAGTCATTAACAGCTGACCATCACAGAATATTGCTGTTACTTTGTACACAGTACATTTCATTTTGCATCAGCTCATGTAAGTCTTTCTAGGTTTTTCAGAGAGCATCCTTCTCATCATTTCTTATAGCAAAATAGTATTCCATCACAATCACATACCGCAGTTTGTGCAGCCATTCCTCTATTGATGTGCATCCCCTCAATTTGCAATTCTTTGTTATCAGAAAAGAGCTGCTATAAATAATTTTGAACATATAAGTCCTCTTCCTTTTTTTTTAATTTCTTTTGGGAGATAAAAGACTTAGAATGTTATAGCTGAGTTAAAGAGTATGCATGGTTTTATAACCCTTTAGGCATAGTTTCAAATTGTTCTATAGATTGGTTGAATCACCAATTGACTGCACAACAGTATATTAATGTTTTCTTTTTCCCATATCCTCACCACCATTTGTTATATTTTCCTTTTTTCTACTATTAGTCTAAATAATAGCAATGAGGTAGTATCTCAGAATTGTTTTGATTTGCATTTCTCAAATCAATAGTGGGTTAGAGAATTTTTTTCAATATGACTTTAGATAGTTTTAATTACTTTGTCTGAAAACTTCATATATTTTGATCATTTAGCAAATGGAAAATGGTTCATTTTTTTTAACAAATTAAACTAATTTCTCTACATGTGTGAGAAATGAGGCCTTTATCAGACAAACTGACTTCAAACTTTTTTTAATAACTGTTTCTATTGATAATCGCATTTCCTTCCATCCCATTCCCCTCCCTGTTTAATCTATGCTCTCTCTCCTTTCTCCCTGTCCTTCTTCCAAAGTGTTTTGCTTCTGGCTATGCCTCCCTCAGCCTACTCACTCTCCTATCACCCTTGACCATGTCTTAGTCCATTCCCTTCCTTCTTTCCTTTAGGGTAAGAGAGATTTCTATACCCAATGGAGAGTGGATGTTATTCCCTCTTTGAGATAATTCTGATGATAGCAAGCTTCACTCACTCAGCCCCCCACATCCGTCTTCTTTCCCTCCACCAAAAAATCTTTTACTAGTTTTATGTGAGATAATTTATCCCATTCTACTCTCCCTTTCCCTTTCACCCAGTACATTCCTCCCTAACCCTTTAATATTACATTTTTAGAAATCAACCCTCCATATTCAACTCACACCTTTCTCCTCAGTCTATATATACTTCTATCTGTCCTAATAATGCAAAAGTACTTATGAGTTACAAGGATCATCTTCCCATGTAGAAATGTAAACAGTTTAACTTTAGTAAATTCTTTATAATTTCCCTTTTGTTTGTTCTTTTTGTTTTTTTTTTATGCTTCTCTTGAATCTCGAATATGACAGTCATTTTTTTTTCTTCAGCTCCAGTCTTTTGATCAAAATTGCGCAAAAGCCCCCTGTTTCATTAAATATCCAGTTTGCACTTGAAGGGTTATACTCACTTTTGCTGTGTAGGAAATTGTAATCCTAAATTCTTTGACCTCCACATCTGCTCATCTTAACCCTAAACCTAACCCTAACCTACCCTAACCCTAACCCTAACCACATTTCTAACCATTAACTGCCTAGTTGTCTGTGCAAACAGTAGTCAAAAAAGGCTTCTTTCTTTTCTTTTCAGATTATGCTCCTTGGATGGAAGAGATGATCAATCTAAATGAAACACCAGCGAACCAGGTGACTGAATTTATTCTTATGGGCATCACAATACATCCTGAGCTGAAGGGCCCCCTCTTTGTTGTCTTTTTCCTCAACTACATGGCCATAGTGGTGGGAAACTTGGGTCTGATCATCCTGACCAGTGTTGATTCCCATCTTCAAACACCCATGTACTTTTTCCTCAAGCATCTGGCATTTGTTGATCTTGGCTATTCCACAGCTATTGGGCCAAAAATGCTAGTTGGATTGATGGAAGAGAAAAATATCATTTCTAATAGTGAATGTGCAATGCAACTAGTTTTTGTGGTGACATTTATTTCCAGTGAAATTTTTATCCTTTCAGCCATGGCCTATGACCGCTATGTCGCTATCTGTAAGCCCCTCCTCTATATGGTCATAATGTCAGACATGGTATCTTGGCTTTTGGTGGCTATCTCATACCTCTATAGTATCATGGTATCCCTACTGATCACAATAAAGATTTTTAAGTCATCTTTCTGTAAATCAAATGTTATAAGACACTTCTACTGTGACAGTCTCCCCCTATTGTCCATTATATGCTCAGACACAAGTGACATTGAACGAATAATTATGACCTTTACTGCATTTGATTTGACTTCTTCCCTCTTGATTATCCTTATCTCTTACATGTTCATTCTTATGACTATCCTCAGGATAAACTCTTCTGAGGGCAGGCACAAAGCCTTCTCTACCTGTGGCTCTCACCTCACAGGGCTGATTATATTCTATGGGACACTTCTCTTCATGTACTTGCAGCCCCAGTCTAGACATTCCTTTGACAAAGACAAAATGGCCTCTGTGTTTTACACTCTGGTCATCCCCATGCTCAACCCTTTGATCTACAGCTTGAGGAACAAGGTAGTGAGAGGTGCCTTGAGGAGACTCTTTAAAAAAATCATGTAAACTTTCACTTTTAGGCTCAATGTAGTTTATGATTCCATTGCATTATTAGAACAAGTAAATATGTATTAGATTTCTTTCAACTTTTTCCTCATTCTTCTCTTGCCTTTTAGAGAAAAAAAAATATCTTAATATGCTTTCAGAGGATGATCTTTGGTTAGTTCTTAGTGTTTTATTTCAGGATCAACCTACATAAATCTTAGTTTAGTGGATCACTTAATTAAAGGGACCTATTAGAGAATTAATACAAAACATATCTATAAAACTATTTCTTTGCATACTATAATAATAAGCTAACCTAACTTCATTTGAAGTTTCCCTTTCTGGGAAAATAAATTAAAAAACATTTCCAAAATCTTGGTGCCAGGTACTATTTTAGTCACTGGGCTTACAGGTAGAAATGAAAATAAAAATAAAGAAAAATAAGTAAAAAATAAACGGTTCCTGCATAGGTGAACTTACATTTTAATAAGGAAAACAGTACGTACATCAGAGTCACTCTCCAACAGAGTAGCCAGTCTCCTTTTCAATATTTTTTATTGTTAAGAAATTAATCCTTATTACAACCTAAATTTCCTGTCTATGACTTCTCATCATACCTCCTTCTCTTCTCTGTGAAGTAGAACAAGTTGGTTCCTTCTTTATAATAATTATTCACATTAGCAAAGAAAATCTCCATTTTTTCCTTGAGCTTCAGTTCCAGATTATTTTTTTTTCATTTTTGTGCTAACATGGAAAGAATACTGGGTTATATAGGTCCATAATATCAAGGGAATTAATGAAAAGAAATGCAAGGGAAAGTGACCTAGCTGTACCAGATATTAAATTGTATTACAAAGCTACAATCATCAAAACTAACTGGTACTGGCTAAGAAATGATGGATTAGGGGAATATGACTGTATTAGTGACTATAGTAATCTACCATTTGATAAATCCAAAGACTTCTCTTTCTGGGATAAGAACTCACTATTTGATAAAAACTACTGGGAAAACTCAACAAAAGTAAGGCAGAAACTAGGCATAGACCAACATCTTACAATCTATACCAAGATAAAGTCAAAATGGGTATATGATTTAGATATAAAGGCTGATACCATAAGCAAACTAGGAGAACAAGGACTCTTTTGTCACATCTATGGAGAAGGGAAGAATTTATGACCAAAGAAGAGATAGCAAACATTATGAAATGCAAAATGGATGATTTGGATTACATTACAGTAAATTGAAAGGTTTTTGCACAAAGGAAGCCCATACAACTAAGATTAGAAGGACTGTAGAAAGCTGGGAAATTATATATATATATATATATATATATGTATATATATATATATAATCTTTATTTACAGCTAGCATCTCTGATAAATGCCTCATTTATAAAGTGTAAGGAGAACGGAGTCAAATTTATAAGAATACAAGTCATTCCCTAATTGATAAATGGTCAAAGGATATGAATAGGCAGCTTTCTGATGAAGAAATTAAAGCTCTCTATAGTCATATAAAATGCTCTAAATCATTGTCGATTAGAGAAATGCAAATCAAAACAACTCTGAGGTACCATACCACACTTAGCAGAGTGGTTAACATGACAAAATGGGGAAATGATAAATATTGGAGAAGATGGGGGAAAATTGGAACACTAATGCATTGTTGGTGGAGTTAAGAACTGATGCAACCATTTTGGAAAGCAATTAAGAATGATGCCCAAAGGGCTATAAAACTATGCATACCCTTTGACCAAGTCTATATCCCAAAGAGACCATAAAAAAGGGAAAAGGATCAACATGTACAAAAATATTTATGCCAGCTCTTTTTGTGGTTGCCAAGAATTAAAAGTTGAGGGGATGCCCATCAATTGGGGGATGGCTGAACAAGTTGTGGTATATGAATGTAATGGAATACCATTGTGCTATAAGAGAAGATGAACATGTGGAATTTAGAAAAACCCAGAAATTCTTAGATGAACTGATGCTGAGGAAAGAGAACATTATACACAGTAACAGACTTATTGTGTAATGACTAACTTTCCTAGACTTGGATCTGCTTAGCAATGCAAAATCTAAGACAACTCCAAAAACAAAACTCATGATGGAAAATGCTCCCCACATCCAGACAAACTACTATGCATCTGATTGCTGATTGAAGCATACTATGTACTCTCTCTTTTTTGTTTTGTTTTGTTTCATTTCTTCTTTCTCATAGCTCCTCCCATTGGTATTAATTCTTCTTTACGACATGAATAATGTGAAAATGTGTTTAATATGAATGTATATGTAGAGCCTATATCAGATTGCATATAATTACCTGGCCAACCACTGGTTTTTCTTTCCTCTCTGCAGCTGTGTACTCGCACAGTCTACAATGTGCTCTAAAACTTGGTATGCATATTGGCCAGCTGTAGATGGCTACCAAAATCAGGGAGTATCACCTTTAGAAGGACATTTTGGAACATAGCACGCACTTCAGGGGGTAATAAGACTTTCTACAGAAGAAAACTTTCCTCAATAATTTGACTCATTCTCTCTGTGCCCCAACACATCACCACTATTACATGAGTTTTACTCTATGTACATGTATATTTTTCATTTCATTTTGCTTTTTGTTGTTTTTTTTCCTAGGCAATGGGGTTAGGTGACTTGTCCAGAGTCACACAGTTACTAAGTGCTATGTGTCTGAGGTTGGATTTGAACTCAGGTCCTCCTGATTCTAGGGCTGGTGCTCTATCCACTGTGCCACCTAGCTGCCCCACTTGATGTATATTTTTCAATTGTATTAAGGATTTCCTTATTCTCTTCTTTCCTACCTATTCCCTGTCCCAATCTTCTCAATCATGTTTCTTATGAAATCATTAGCTTGAATTTGCTCCGTTCTCATTTTTAAGGAAGTATTTTCTTCAGTGAGCTTTTGAAATTCCTTTCCTGGCCTATGCTCTGGTCTATGAGTGACCACAAGCACTCTTTTCTGCCTTGGAACTGTGAGGAGGATTCCCTCTCCCCTGCCACCACAAATTTCATGCCAGCGCTACTTTTCTCACCAAAACCACCACCCAGAACTGTGACCCAGGTCCAAGCATGGACAAAACAAGAGAATCCTGCCTCAGCACCAGCAAACAGCTCCTTGCAATCCTCCATTTGACCAGCCACTCGATTCTTCCTCAGTCTGTGGGTCAAGAGCTCCAGAAATAGCCACCACCCTGGGGTTGCACCAATATTTGAGTCTGACCAAGCTCCTTTTTCACCGTAGTCAGATAAACATTTCCTATTGACTCTCTAAGTTGTTTTTGGTTTTTGTGGGTTGAGAAGTTTGGAATCCACCACACCTCCCCTTGATTCAATCCCCTGAGAACTGCCCTCAGTTCACTGAGGCCCTCT